ATAATCATAAACTGTTAACTCCCTGGTGCAATTTGATGGATCTCTTGAATACAAAACATTGCCTGTGGGGAGAGAAAGAGTATATTAATTTTTGTGAAGACCAAGGGTTTGGTTTGAGACAGAAGGTGAAATTAGTTTAAAAAACAAATTGTGGGACAAATTCCACTGACAAAAATATGACAGTTATGTGCTTGGGTATAGAAGGATATGTGTGAATGAGTTTGACCACCAGATGGGAGGCTCTGCACACTTGGCCTAGGCAGATTCACTTCTGCACCCCATATAATCTCTTACTTGTTTTCTCCCAGTTCCATTTCAACCCCCATTTTGGGGAAATTTAGTATGGAATATATATATATAAGTGAGGAAGTTATGAGTGGGAGAGCAGATGTTGATACCGGTAACCCTAGTGTATACTTGCTAGGATTTGATTTCTGGATGTCTTAGGGAACTAGGATTACAATAAACCTGGGCAAACCTTAGCTGAGTTGTTAGAGAATGAATGTGCAAATTCTGCAAATGAGAAACAAAGATATCCCTTAATCTCTAAGACTGAGACATGAGGGCCTTCAACCTCCAACAAGCAACTGCTTTTTTTTTTTTTTTTAATATTTTATTTATTTGACAGAGAGAGACACAGAGAGAGAGGGAACACAAGGAGGGGGAGTGGGAGAGGGAGAAGCAGGCCCCCCGCTGAGCAGGGAGCCCGATGTGGGGCTCGATCCCAGGACCTTGGGATCATGACCTGAGCCAAAGGCAGACTCTTTTTTTTTTTTTTTAAGATTTTATTTATTTATTTGAGACAGAGAATGAGAGACAGAGAGCATGAGAGGGAGGAGGGTCAGAGGGAGAAGCAGACTCCCTGCCAAGCAGGGAGCCCAATGCGGGACTTGATCCCGGGACTCCAGGATCATGACCTGAGCCGAAGGCAGTCGCTTAACCAACTGAGCCACCCAGGCGCCCCAAAGGCAGACTCTTAATGACTGAGCCACCCAGGTGCCCCAAGCAAATGCTTTTTTAAGGATGTGAAACACCTATGTAGTGTCAGTCCAATGCCTTAACTAGAGGTGGTCTGTGGGCTTGGCTTACCTGCTGAGCCTTAAGGAATGATGCATCTCAGTTAACCTGTTAGCTATTTCTTCCAGCTGGTGCCTTTTGCCACCAACTAAACTTACACACAAACTTGTCTCTGCAATCCCATTCTAGTGGAAGAAAAGGAAAGGAAAAGAAAAGGCTCTTTTATGCTTAATGAGAACTGTGGAATTTCAGGCCTTAACAGTTAGCGACTCTCTTTTTACAGATGAACAAATTTAGGCCTGGAGAGGAAAATGAAGTCAATCATTAAAAACATAATTATTGAGGCAGGCACTGTGATTCAAGGTGACTAAGATGGGCTCTGCCCTCCTATTGATTACACACCAGTAGGAAACACTGACAAGTAAACAGGTCATTGTTTGCCCAAGACCACATAGATAATGGCTTGGAAATGGCACCCATGAAACCTGGCAACAGGTAAATCTTTATTTGATGATATCCTTGTGGACAGATCAGCTTTGTGACTTTTGTTTGCTTTGACACTTATATTTAGTAAAGTGTCCTTGATCTTAATATCTAAAGCATAGAGTGTTTGGACAGAGACTCTAGGCAGACCTGCGGGCTCACACTGCCTTCTGTGAGCAGCAGTATCCCCACAATCTGTACAATACTGGCACTTCCTACAAGGACCCACCGTCTCTTCCGTACCCTGGAATGGTTGGGAACATTCCTATACACCACTGCCACTTAGTGACTCTTTTGGGTACTACCAGCTCTGGTTTTACTTCCTGATTTTTTTTCTTTTTTTTTTAACTCTGGGACTCTGACTCTGCCAGAGAGCTGTGATTGTGTGACCTCTAAGGTCCTTTCTACCTTGAGATCCTGTGATTCTACAATTACCTTTGACTTTAGAAGGCAATTTTTGTCCATTGCTGAGCAAGAAACTTAGTTGATTTCAAATCAGTAAAACTTTGATGAGGTCTTCCAAAAAACTAAAAAAAGAAAGTACACCCAGGAGACTGAAAAGCACAATATAAACTTTTTAAAAATTTTTATTTATTTATTTCCAGAGAGAGGGAACACAAGCAGGGGGAGTGGGAGAGGGAGAAGCACGCTTCCCGCCGAGCAGGGAGCCCGATGCGGGGCTCGATTCCAGGACCCCAGGATCATGACATGAGCTGAAGGCAGACGCTTAACGACTGAGCCACCCAGGTGCCCCTCAGCTGCTATTTATATCAGTATTGTGGAATAGTCAAAAGATTTCTTAGCAGGGCACCAAATCTGTTTATAGTTATTATGAAACAGATAAGGTGGATCAATGCCAAATGTTGATGAGAAAGAGAGCTCACTTTGCTTACTCTTGTCACATGTCTTTCCATGTAACCAGCAAAACCCCAGATTCCCTTGTTTTTCTGGATTCACAGTCATACTCCCAGGGCTGTTTATTTTTTATTTTTTAAAGATTTTATTTATTTATTTGAGAGAGAGAGAATGAGAGAGAGCACATGAGAGGGGGGAGGGTCAGAGGGAGAAGCAGACTCCCTGCCGAGCAGGGACTCGATTCCGGGACTCCAGGATCATGACCTGAGCCGAAGGCAGTCGCTTAACCAACTGAGCCACACAGGCGCCCTCCCAGGGCTGTTTAGCAACACTACAGGCTTAGTGTTTTGTTATAATCTTTATTTGTTTAATTCAACACACTAGGACCTATGGCCTCTGTGAAGCCTACAAAATTATTTGATATGAAAATCATGTTTATGACTTACACACAAGAAAGCACAAAATAAAAATTAATAATTTAATGTCTATGAAAATGTACCATTTATTTTTAAATTTAGTATTCATAGGAATTATATTACATTTAAGGATAATTTGAAGGTCAAATTTTTCTCCCATTGCAAGAATTTCTCAGTATGTGTGGGGATGATTGCCAAAAAACACCCAACCCAGTTATAAATTAAATGAAGTACTCACAAACAATTTGAGAAACAGAATTATAAAAATCCTTTTTTTTTAAATTTTATTTTTGAGAGGGCGAGAGGTGGGTGGGGACAGAGGGAGAGAGAGAATCTTAAGCAGACTTCACACTTAGGGTGGAGCCGAGGCAACATGGGGGCTCAGTCTCACAACCCTGAGATCATGACCTAAGCCAAAATCAAGGGTCTGACACTTAACTCACTGAGCCACCCAGGCGTCCCATAACATCAGTTTCAAATTTACAGTGAAAATCATTTTTATTGTTGGATGTGGGGGTATTCACATATATTTGATATAATGTGTAGGACTGTGGTGAATTTCATCATTCCAATTTTAGTATATGTGCTGCCAAAGCGAGCATGGACTATGGTGGTTTTTAAAGGCTCTGAATATTCTTTACAATTTTCTCCAAAGAACTAAAGGTATAATCAGAAACTACCTGCTGCAAACACCAAGTATCTCTCAATTCTCAAATCTTCAAATTTCATAAGAAATACAATCTTAAAAGTTCATTAAAAATTGTTCTGTGTTTTGTTATAATCTATATTTGTTTAATTCTATTTTTAATTATCTATCACTGAGTTAAAATCATGTTCTGGGAAAAAGTACCATGTCTACCCCATGGGTGTGCGTTTGTGTATCTGACACACCACCCCTGGGATGTGTGAGTTCTAGAGTTTGAGATTGACAGCTCTTTTTTGAGAGATAAAGGCAGCAATCCTCTTCTTCTTTTGAGAAAAATTTGAGAAATTATTGCAGCAAATTGTAAGGTCTTTGACTTGATGAAAAGATCTAAGGAGGGGGGCCAGGCTGGCTCAGTGGCTATAGCATGTGACTCTTGATCTCAGGGTTGTAAGTTTGAGCCCCATGTGTGTCATAGTTTACTTAAAAAAAAAAAAAAAAAGCTTAAAAAAAAAAAGCCTAAGGAGTTGTTTTGGGGTTTGTTTTTGTTTTTAGCACATGGTAACATCATTTGCCTATGGTGTAACAGTCTATGTACACGTGCAGGGAAAATTCGACAATATTCTTTGAGAATAATCCAAAGTGTTTCCAATGCAAGAAGCACCTAGGAAAAAGCTTTTATTCTTTTTCCAGTCCTCTGTAAGAGTTGACCCCAGACGGACCCAAAGGATTACATGGGTTCTTCCATGTTCCTTCCTGGTCTTTCTAAATGGTACATCATAATTCCACCTTTGGCCATGAAACACTTCTTGGGGAACTAGGTCTGTCTCCCTTCACCTGAAGATCAAACTGCTCTCAAATGCTCTTCTCACAGCCAGCTAACTGACTGACTTGAGTACCTAGAATCCTGTCTTCAACAGTCCTCTGATTGACCCTTCCCTGGGCTCAGGGTTCCCTAAAAGTCCCCCTTCTTCATAGCTCTCACCTCCTATCTTACTGTCTCATCTCAGGAAATTGGAGCTCCCAACCCTTCCCCATGGATGCTACATCCTCTTTGAGGGAGGCATTTGGTGTGTCTTGATGGTCTTTGCGATCCAGGACCTAGCACAGTGGTCTGATACCTGCAGGGGCGTGTGTAAAGTTTGTTATTATAGTAATTGATAAATGAATTACAGAGTGTGGATGGATTTTGTAATGCTATGACTGACCGCAGGGTAGATAAATACTCAGCAATTCTGAGGGATAGGAAAGAATGGTTGGGGCAGGAAGTTGTGTTCAGGAAACATTTTTTTTTTCCCAAGATTTATTTATTTGTCAGAGAGAGAGAAAGAGGGAGATAGAGCATAAGCAGGGGGAGCAGCAGGCAGAGGGAGAGGGAGAAGCAGGTTCCTCGCTGAGCAGGGAGCCCGACGCAGGACCCTGGGATCATGACCTGAGCCAAAGGCAGACGCTTAACCAACTGAGCCACACAGGCGCCCCTCAGGAAACTTTTAAATAGACTTTCCAAAGAAAGGGATTGACGAAAAGTTTAGGATTAATGAGGAAGGGAAAAGAAAAGATGTAATTAGCTGACTGAAGATACCTGATTCGTGTCAGAGAGGAAAGTCCCTGGTGATGGGCCTGGGGCCCTGTTGTTGGTCTTCATGCTGGGTCCGGGTCTGACCCCACCAGCCCTGACTCAGGATGACTCCAGGTACAAACGCTTCCTGACCCAGCACTATGATGCCAAACCAAGGGGCCGGAATGCCAGATGCTGTGAAAGCATGATGGAGAGACGAGGCCTGACCACCCCCTGCAAAGACATCAACACCTTTATTCATGGCAACAAGGGCAGCATTAAGGCTATCTGTGGAAATAAGAATGGAAACCCTTATGGAGATGCTTTAAGACTAAGCAAGTCTCCTTTCCAGGTCACCACCTGCAGGCATGTAGGAGGGTCCCCTCGGCCTCCTTGCCTGTACAGAGCTACCCCAGGGTTCAGACACGTTGTTGTTGCCTGTGAACACGGCTTGCCTGTCCACTTTGATGAGTCCTTTTTCCGTCCATAACCAGAGGCCACAGCTGGCTTTGCTCTCCTTTTCTTGCATTTCCCTCCACATCCCAGAACGGCAACACTTATGGCCAGGGGCCCAGAGAATGAGCTGCCTGGATCTCTTGTTTTCCATTTTACAACACGTCTAATAAATAAAAGTGTCTCTGAAATCAGTAAGAATCAAAGTCTTCCCACTAATTATTGGCCTATTAATCTTACCCCATTTTCTCGATTCAACTGCTCCCTGAGAGGATTGGAAAGAATAGGAATGCCCTTTTCCTTATCGGTCTGTTCCTTATCAGTCAGTAAGGAGGTGGACTTTAGCTTTCTGTAAAGGTAAGGTGATTAGATTCATGTTACAGAGAGAACTAGGAAAATTCCAGGGCTCCTGGCAACTAAACAGAATTTTCAGAAGGGGCAAATAATAAGCCAATATTACTTTTACAAATATTAAACCTTGAGGAGAACCGTTTAGGACTAAATACGAACAGACTCATTCCACTTTCTCTCTTTCACACACATGTGTGTGAATGCCAAGGGGCAGCCACCTCTCGTCTTAAGCAGGAGGTAATTTTTTGATGTTGCTTTGAATGGAATGTTCCTAGGGTATTCTCATGGCTATTTTATATAAGGATCAAAAAGTGATTATTTTATTATTTACTTATTTATTCATTATTACATTATTTTTTCCTTAATCTCTTACTTTATTGACCAAGGTCTGGCTACTTTGAGATCTTAGGGAAGTCATAGAAAGATTCCAAACATTATCCCTTATACTTCTTCAACTAGATTTGGTTTTCAAGTAAACATACACTTAGGTTGACGACACTCTCTTTGTAAAATATACTAATCGATCCACCGGTTAAGTGATTAACTTCCTATTAACTTAATTCCTATCAACTGGTGCCTCAATATTTTATTTGGAAAGTAGTTAATAAGTTACAGTTACAAGTCACAGTTTTGCTATCTTGTGAATATGTAACTATTGTGGTCACAGTATTCCCAACGGTGGCCTCCCCTGCTGCCCACATTGCCCTGAAATGGGCCCAAAACCCTAGTTGCTCAATACTCAGGTTATAGACCAGTATCTAAGTGCCACCCAGGAGAGCCCGGCCTTGCTGAAAATATTCAGATTTGGGGAAGAAGTGATGGAGGAGTAGGTTTACTAGTGGACACTCAGCCCATGAATCTGTCAAAGAAACACTTTGAGTTTCTATTTCAAAATTGAAAACACTGTCTGTAGTTAGGGAGAAGAGTTTTCCAAACCTCTCTTATTAGAAAATTTGCTTGTTATAAAATCTCAAAAACCCCTTAAGGAATAAGAAAACTCCAGTTTTTGGTAGAATATTGGGACCCTTCCTCAGGTTCTCCAACCAGTACCATCTCCCTGATATGAAGTGAAGTGACTTCCATACAGATCATTGCCCCACTCAAGCTCTTGATAGAGAAGGTCAAAGGTCTGGACCGTTATTACATTGACCACACCATATTTATGAAAACTGATGTCTTCTCCAAACATCTGCTTAGAGCATTAATCATTGCATACTCTGCTCTGGTGTTAAGGCAAATGACCGTTTCCTGGGAAATCGCATGGCAGTGGGATGGGGGTGCTTCCTGTCCTGCTGATGGAGCTAACAGCTATGGAGCCAGTCCTAGTACTTTTTGCTCTGGGTATCTTCTTCTCTCACCGTCAAAAGCTATTTAGAATGAAATATCAAGTCACAGGCAGGTCATTTTATCTCGAGTGAATCATTTGAGGAATTGAAGTGCTGGTCGGCTGTACTTTATTGACTTTGCAAGGAAAAGAGAAGAAAAACCTCAAAAATGTCAAATCCTTCGAGGAATGGTGGCATTCAAGGAAGAAAATTCCATGCAACTTGGAGAGAACAAATTTCTCTAGAGACACAGCAGAAATTCTAGTAGGCTTTTTTAAAAAAAAAAGCCTTATATGGGGCACCTGGGTGGCTCAGTTGGTTAAACGTTTGCCTTTGGCTCAGGTCATCATCCCAGGGTCCTGGGAAGGATCGAGCCCCGCATTGGGCTCTCTGCTTGGCGGGGAGCCTGCTTCTCCCTCTCCCGCTCCCCCTGCTTGTGCTCGCTCTCTCGCTCCCTGTCAAATAAGTAAATAAAATCTTTTTTAAAAAGGCTTATAGTTTCTTGGGAATATAAGTACTCTACAAAATAAAGGCGAGGGGGTCCAAAATATATGCAATTTGCTGTAGTCATTCACTATTTTTATCAAATTGAAGGAAGCAAAGGAAACCAAGAAGAATGGAAATTGTGAAAAGATCATTGCCAACACTTACTAAACACTTATCAGGGGCTAGGCATTGTGATAAGCACTTTACATTGATTTTATCATTTATTCTTCATAACATCTCTAAGAGGTAGGGATTGTGATTATGCTCATTTTACTTATGAGAAAATATGCCGAGAGCTTAAGTAATTTCCCCAAGGTCACACAGTTAATGTGGCAAAGCTAGGTCTTTGGGATCACAATATCCAAATTAGTTCTTATTGAGAGTCAATCTGGTGCAGCAGAAAAAGGCTTTGGGACAAGCTCTGACCAAAAAGTATGTGTTGATGGGAGCCTGGGTGGCTCAGTTGGTTAAGCGACTGCCTTCGGCTCAGGTCATGATCCTGGAGTCCCGGGATCGAGTCCCGCATCGGGCTCCCTGCTCGGCAGGGAGTCTGCTTCTCCCTCTGACCCTCCCCCCTCTCATGTGCTCTCTCATTCTCTCTCTCTCAAATAAATAAATAAAATCTTAAAAAAAAAAAAGTATGTGTTGGGATGATTTGGGGATCATTTAATTTTCTGTTGTACCTAGAGCCTTGAGATGTACCCATTGATGTTTACCTGGGATTTCGGGTGGCAAATATTTTCCCCTGTCTTGTTAAATCAGTCAGTTGGTGTGGCTGAGGCCATGGGTTTGCTCTTGCATGAATAGTTTATGTCTTCTCTGTAGCCAGTTATTTTGCTAAGACATGATCTCAGTCACAAAGAAGCAGGATGAGAAAAAGTAGACAGAACTGTGCAAGATGAGAGGTACAAGATTAGATTTGGGGAAAACAACCTAAAGTACACCACTGTGATGAAACCATTACCCGAGGGCTAAGTGCGCCTTCGGAAGTTATATCCATTGGTGCTGGGCTGAGGAGTAAATTGAACATCATTTCTCCCTGCCCCCTTCCTCTTGCAGCTCCTTTGTTCCCTCTCTTCCTGACTCCATTTCTCATATCAGCTACAGGCACAAGCAATGACCTAGAACTTTACAACTTTCTGTGTAGAGGCAGAAGGCAGCTGTGAACCTAGGAGGTGGCATGGAAAAGAGAGATGGTTCTATTTCATTATGGTCATTACCACTAACCAAAGTGTAGGCTTAGGTGGAACAGACTGCAGGTCCCTCATCAGCCATTTCAGTCCCTTACGCATGTGATCCGGCACCATGAAGCAGCTTCTCTGAAAATGAAGGACAGTAGTACCCAGAGGTATCATCCCAGGAATTCAGCTGAGGCTGGATGTGGACTGCACGTGTAGAAATGGGCCTGTCTGACTCAAAAAGTTGCCCTGGCTACTTTGGGTTGCTCACTCCCTGTTGAATGGAGCTGATTTTTCTTTGCCCTAGTGAGGCAGCCCTGCCCCACAGCAAGAGTCAAGTAGTTCAAGGTTTGACTCCATGTCAGTCCCAGACTGACAGCTAGACGGCAGCATCTAGCTAGTTAGTGTTGGTGAGTGACCCCCACCTTTGCTCCCGCCCTATTCCACCCCTGATTGAATTCTGTTGCTAGAGACAAGCAACTCTGAGCATAAACATCGTTGGTATCTTGAATATTTAGGAAGTGGGATGGGAGAAGCAGTCAGAGGATGGTGGAAAGAGTACAGATTTTAGAGCCAGATAGACCTGGTTTCCTTTCTTTAGTCAACCAAAGCAGTGTTCTAAAATCTTTATCACAGTGCTTTTTTTGTTGTTGCTCCAGAGGTTTCTGTTTGTTTGTTTTTTAACTCTGTAAAACAAATGTTTATTCCCACCATCAAGAGAGGTCAACACAAAGATCTTGTAACCAGGGAATATGGATAATTACCAATAGCTGTGGACAAGACAGGCAGAGCATCAAGGATAGATGCATGACAGTAGACTCTATCACCAGGGCCTAGTGTTTGGGGTTGTATATAGACACAGGGGGAAAAAAAAAGACACAATCCACGTCCTTTTTTGTGGAGATTGTGCTGTTTAAATTCATTTTTCATTTTTTAAATGTTTCTTAGCTTAGTGGTCAATTCCACAAGCCTGGAAAATACCTTCACTCACTATATCCATTTCATTTCATTTGTTCACGAGCTCACTCATTTCATTTATTTATTCAGCCAATATTCACTACCTTCAAAGCACTACCTTCAAAGCACTACCTTTTCCACTTCATCACGAGGAGCGTTCTGAAAGTAACTGCTGGGTACTCTGCTTTTGTAGGGGTTCTTACAGAGGATGAACAGGATTTCCAAAATGACCTGATTTTAATACCACAGGAAGAATAGCCGCAGGAGAGGAAAGGCTAACCCCAGTATTACTCTGGCCTCTTTTCTGCACCTTCCTCAATTCCAGATGTAAGGAATGAAAATCAGTTCACAAACTTTCTCTGAAAAATCATGAGTCTATCCAAATTTTCGGGAATCAGAGTCTCTAGAGGACCAAAAACTCCAAAGATCTTTTTTTTTTAAGATTTTATTTATTTATTTGAGACAGAGAGAATGAGAGAGAGAGAGCACATGAGAGGGGGGAGGGTCAGAGGGAGGAGCAGGCTCCCTGCCAAGCAGGGAGCCCGATGCGGGACTCGATCCAGGGACTTCAGGATCATGACCTGAGCCGAAGGCAGTCACTTAACCAACTGAGCCACCCAGGCGCCCCAAAACTCCAAAGATCTTATGACCAGAGAATAACCTCAAGAGACGGTCAACTCCAGTTTCACCTAGATCTGCCTTTTCTTCCCGTTCCTTCTCTGACCACGGAGGCCAGATGCCCTGGACGGCCACACGGTCAGTGCCCGTCCTGAGTGGCTGTACTTGCTGCAGCAAGTTCTCTCCATGAAAGAGAATGGTTCTTGTTTTCAGAGAAAAGCATGTTTTGCAAACTCTTTGCTCTTGGGAAAGCAGACGGGAAAAGTTGTGAGCAGAGAAGAGTGGGGAACTGGTACAGATAAGGAGGAAAGAGGAGACTAGAGTTGAGGCAATGTCTATTTGCCGTTCCCAACACCTCTCCCCACAGTGCCCGCATCTCACCTTCCTTTCTCCTGCCCCTTGGGTTTCTGTCTAGGCATCTCCAAGGTAGTGATGGCTCTCCAGAGGACCCGTTTCCTGCTTCTGCTCTGGCTGCTGACCCTGCTGGGGCTGGGGCTGGTACAGCCCTCCTATGGCCAGGATCGCATGTATCAACGATTCCTGCGGCAGCATGTGGACCCTGAGGAGACAGGTGGCAATGACACCTACTGCAACTTGATGATGCAAAGACGGAAGATGATGGTGCGTCAGTGCAAGCGCTTCAACACCTTCATCCACGAAGACATCTGGAACATTCGTAGTATCTGCAGTACCACCAATATCCAGTGTAAGAATGGCAAGATGAACTGCCATGAGGGTGTAGTGAAGGTCACAGACTGCAGGGAGACAGGAAGTTCCAGGGCCCCCAACTGCAGATACCGGGCATCGGCAAGCACTAGGCATGTGGTCATCGCCTGTGAGGGTGACCCGCAATTGCCTGTGCACTTGGACAGATAGACACCAGCTGGCGGCCCTTATGGCCCGGTGGTTGGCCTTGAACTTACTCCTTGAATAGCAATACGTAATGCATTTGAGCTGTCCCAGGCTCTGTCTCCTCTATTTCTGGCTCTTTTTCTCTTTATAACCCATTCTGTTAAGCACATTGTATCAAAGAGAAATGGAGACATAAACTTATAATGAGTCTGGGCTTTTCTGTAGTAAACTTTTTGGCTTTCTTTTATAATACTGGTCAGTTTAGCTCTCTCAGATCCTATCCTCTGGAATTTAGTCATTATATGGATTTATACAGCATTTTAAGCATTTCAAAGTACTTTCATCTAAATCATGTCATTTTAATAGCACAGCAATTGTGCGATGTTGCTGATGTTGTTATATGTAGGAGCCCAAAGTTCAGGGACTTGTGGAAAACCATGAAATTAGTGGAAAAGCTGATACAGAAACCCAGTTGAACTGGCTCCTAATCCAGGCCTTTTTCCACTTCATCACGAGGAGCGTTCTGAAAGTAACTGCTTTTGGTTATTCCCAAAAGTCAGCTGTTAGGAGAAGCGTTAGAAATTTAGAAATACATGCTGGTAAAATGAGAGCTCGGTCTGGATAATCTGGCTCCCTTGTTGTGCTGGGGTCTAATGGCATCAAGAAATGATACAAGAGATTTACTTTCTCTCTTCCCAGACTTTTGAATCACTCTAGTAAGTCAGAATATTAGAAATGTTCTAGATCATTTAAGACTCATTCACTCCTCCTGACGGAAACATCTTTCATGTTTTACTTGTAATAAAGACCTTAAACTGCAGATATCTGAGAAGGTTGTGCTACAGTTCTTGTGGGGGGATATTTTTTTTCCTCCTACCCTCTTTTAATTCTTCAGTTTATAAGCATGCACACACCTTAATATCCTCATACATTCTGGTCAAAGACTAATGCCCACCAGATCCATGACCATGACACGGAAACCCTTGTCTCATTTACTCCAGAAGGAATGAACCCTCTCAATGCTCACACCCTTCCCTTCTCCCTTTGACTATTTTAAACAAACTGGGGAACAGAGATGTATGCAGATGCTGGCTGCTAAGGAAAGGAAGTGTGTGTGTGTGTGTGCATGTGTGTGTAAGGACTAAACTGATATCATTTGAATTCCAGCAGAGACTA